TACTTTTGGGTCCAAAAACATGTTTATGTATTGTAAATGCATGTACATTAACTCCATTTGTAATGTGCATATCTGTGTTTGCCTTTAATCATTGTCAAATAACAAAGGGTTTGTGTTTAATCGGCTTGAGTGCTATCGCAGGCAATATGTACCAAGATTCAACTATTATATGTATGTACATTTGTATGTTTGCGTATTTGTAGTTAACTGATGTGTATGTATGCGTATATATCCAACTAAATACATACATAGATGTGTACATTATGTACATTTGCAGTTTATATACGAAATCAAATGGCATATCACTTAAATGAAAAATTAAAATATTCAATTAAACACTTTTGTTTGTCCTCCAAAAGGGATACTTGTGCATTGGTGACATTTACTATCCTTTTGGTCACTTATCACTTTCCTTTGGGTTTCCTTATGTTGCCAATCGCACGCTACTGTTTTTGTTTATCTTGGCTTCTGCCTTTGCGGGCGGCATGCATAATTACATTTTGTACTTCTATGCATGTACATACTATGTTGATATGTATGTATGTATATACCACGTATGTATATACTGATGCATATGTACATATATGTTAATTGCAAAATAATCGAACACACACTCGAACAGGCACTTAACCCTTAGCCACCTAACGCCGGTCACAGTGACTACCGTTTTTTATTTTTTAAATATTCCCGTTATTATGCAAGCTGCGCAGTTGTCCGTCTATGTACTTTTTCTTTTCTCTCGTCAGTTCGTTTTGTGCAATCAGGCAGTCAACACGTGTACCAATTCTAAAACTAGAGGTAAAATATTTTTGCTTGCGGTCATTGTGACCGACGTTAGGTGTTTATGGAATTTTCGCCGTGTACTGAAAATGGATCAAGTACCCAGTACATCGCTGGCCGACAACGTAGAAAAATTTGAAAAACGTAAAACCTGTTCACTATGTGATCCCAAAAAGAAACGCAAAACATTCCACATGTGTTTTGAATGCAAAAATCCAATTTGTATTGAATGTTCCCAAAAAATGTGTATACCATGCCGCCAAAAATTGTGATTGTTGGCAGGTTGCAATTTTATTTTAATTGCGATTTAATCGCGCCAAAAACAATTTATTATTGAAGTCCATGTTTTTAAGTTATAAAAAAAGAAAAAAATTTTAAGTTCAAATATTTTTTCCTAATTAGATCTCATTTTATAAAAGTATCTACGTTTTCTTACAAAATTCGTATAACAATGAATAAAAAATGTTATTGAAGTATGAAACTTCTTTTAAGTTAATTTTTTGTTAATATTAATTAAATAAAAGGTACAAAAGAGTTATGTGCGGTTTTTGCGTGTTTTATTATTATATTTATACTTTAAACACTAAAATTAAGTAAGGGGTCACCTTGATCGACGTTAGGTGGTAGAGTGTCTAAAAAAGACGGTAGGTGGCTAAGGGTTAAACTAAACCCTGTCTGTTTAGAAGTAGTTGGGTGGCATGAGCTTTAAGAGCGGGTCAAGTTTGGTGTTGTTGCATAGATTTACGCACCCACAGAAGTAAACATACCTACAACTAAGATATATGTATATTTCCATTGTCCGCTAGTATGCCTGGATGTATGTATGTACGTAGTATGTTAAGCAGTAAAGGTCATTGACATCCTCAGCAGCCACTTCTGTAGTTGGGTCTTTCCTTGCTGTTGCCTCATTATAACTACTGCTTTGGAGCTATGTACACATATATGCTACCGTTCCTGTTTCTGGCCTTGCTCTTGCTCCTAACTGACTGCTGCTACTACTTCCGCCGGTCGCCGGAGGTAAGAGTAATTTACGGCAGCAATTTAAAATCACTTTCCCAATTAAATAAAACGTTGAATTTTCAAATTTCATTTTAATGTCCTCCGTGAATCAATGTTTAGAAATTATTGATACATTCCACTTAAAAATTTAATATTTGTATGTTATGCATTTTTGGTGCTGTAAGAGGTCCTGACATAAACTGAGTTTTCCAGCTAAATAGATACAGTGACTCAAACAAATAGCCACGTGTTGATTTTTTTAATATTCGTAATGTTTTTCGAGCTACATTTTTTAACCAAAACCATATAAATCACAGCTGTAAACTTTATACAAAACTTAGTCTAATGTAGGGCAAGTTTCAAACGGCTGAAAAATCCCGTTGATTTTTGAGAATTTTTTTAGGTTTCCTGTTTTTTTATATAACAAGTGCAATTTATGTACAAAAACTGGCTTTGATTTTCTGAAATTTTGTTGCTAACGGTCTCCCACGTTTTTTTCCATTAAAAATTCTTGGTTATATGGAAAAAAAAGTGCAAAAATCCACCACCAAAAAAAAATTCTCAAAAATCAACGCGATTTTTTAGCCGTTTGAAACTTGCACTTCATTAAACTACGGGCTATAAAACTGCATAGTCAAAAATGTCCTTAAGAATCAGATCAAAAAGTTGAATTTTTCTAAATTATGTATAAAGTTTGAAGCTGTGAAAATAACCAAAACATTTAGCTGGAAAAACATTAATATTTAATATTAAACATCAACATGTGGTCATTTGTTTGACTCGCTGTATATTCATAATGCATACAAACACATTGAGTCATTCTAAAAGAAAATGTTGCAAAAATTAAATTTTAAACTGTATACTACACGTTAAGAACAATTATAATCATGAGGAAGGAATCTAAATTTCCACCTTGGTATTACCGATATAGTTGTATTTTAACTATTAAATCTACATCCCACGGCCCACCATTCAACACGTATACTAATGAAGTGTGATTCGAAGTATACGTTAAAGTGGATGGTGGAAAAATTCAGAGGACTGACAGCCTTCTATATAAACCGCGCAGCTGAAAGCAGTTTATCAACTTGCACGGCGGCAATATATGGGGATAAAATAAAAAGATTTTGCGCGACACTTATTAAGCTTATGTACCGGTCTGCTGTAGACCACCGACAAGACATATCAAAACAGGTCTCTCGATACCGCCACTAGGCATCTTCTAATAATGTTGGAGTAATACCTGCTTAATATGCCTGTCTTCAGATATTTCTTCCCGGGATATTTCAGTTTTAATAACTTGGACAGAGCATCACCGCCAAACCATATAAGTAGTATCACAGTCTACAATGGTCCAACGCAGATTCGGTTGGCGTAGTAGGATTAACTTCCACAGAGCCACTTAACACTACTACATGCTCTACGTAGTTTGTACCATTTTTCAGTGGAGGTAAGTGTTATTTGAGGCTCTGGACTCAGTCGCATTTATTACTCCATTGTGAATCTTGTGTATTGCCTAACAGTGATGTCTGACTTGGGTTCATCGACTATGTTTTACTCCCGTGACATTAAAATGATTATAATCATCACAACTGGACAAAAGAGGTGGTGGGGTTCGAAATCAGTTTTAACAAGACAGACTTGGAATGTTTGACATGAAGATATCAGATTACAGCTTGATGGCCAAGCTTAACTCATAAAAAAATTTCAAAAAATCTTCCTTCCTTTGAAAATATGTAATTCGTACGATTGCAGGGGCCTACATTCTGTACTCACGCAACACGGGTGGATGAAAGGAATTCGATTCAGTCACCATATGGACCTACCTTTTCTTGATGGACGGATCTAAAATGAGTTACGGAGTTGCTTGAGCTTCAACAGCCATGTAAGCTTTCGGACCTAATTTTCATCAACAACCATTAAGGCAGTAAACGAAATCCGCGAGTCGTTAATTACTGGGTGCGAAGACGTAAAGAAATTGAAGGGGATTAATTGGTTGATACGCTAACAAAATCTTGCGAAAACTTATCGTTTGGAATCACTTTAGGCTTCTACCCCTTCCTTTGAGAAACGTTAAAATCGTGTAGGAAAGCCAAGATCTTTTTGCTCTCTTACAATGCAAAAGCCATCAACTATAGGCCGGTGATTTTCATAGTCTCTGCCCGACGGTAAAAACGGTACCTGTGGGGAAAACTTTGCAATTCGTGTATATATCAATTCTGTAAAAATATTGAGGAATTCCTTAGCCACACTGCTCAAAAAATCTGAAAGTCCGGTACATACACACATATAAATTCAAGACCGTATTTAAGAAAATTCGCCTAACTTTGATAATTTTTATGCGATTGCAATAAATGGGGTATCAGTTTATTTGAAAATATATTTAATTTTAGATAGTACTATATATTTTGAATTTGTGGAAATTAGTGATGGTCAAAACTTGAAAAATTAAAAAAAAAATGTTTTTTTTATTTGCCCGATGAAAACTCCCAACAATCCAAGTCTGGCAATATATTATTACACATCATTTTAAAGGTATATAAATCCTCTTCTCACAACATGCTCGATCTTTAAAATTGAATGAAAACTAGTCATTCAAAAACTGATAAATCTACAAAACCGTACTTTCTGACCAAAATGACAAGTCGCGATCACTTAAATGATTTTTGAATAATCTATAAAAATAGGCAATAATATTTCACACAAAAAGGAAAGAAATTTGAAGGTAGGGGCTTGAAATTAAAAAAAAAAATCGATGGGCATCCTAATATACATATATGTACGTATACTGACGGGACAGACCCGATTTTTGCACGGATGGAGTGAGTTCAAGCTCAAGAACTGGAAATACATTTCCAGCATTTCCTGTCTTACTGTCCTGCTTCCTGTAGATCGTGACTCAGCTACCTTGTCCTCTGCTTTCCTTTCCTCACTGAAGGAATTTACACACTTACATAATAGCAAATTGTTAAAACTAGGCAACAAGGGACTGAGGATATAAGCCTAGGCCTCCAGTCTCTTGCTCTAAGGAGCAACTAATGATCAACGTGAGATCTCATGGATCAACCTTACCTAACCTAACTTTTTCTGTCGTTACCATTTTTTTCTTCTTAAAAACTTGTTTTCTTTTCAGATGAATTAAAATACTTGCATATTTTTATATACATATTTACCAGTGCATATTTCCTTTTACTAATCTTATTATTATTTTATTGTTTCAGATACATCCCGATGATCATCTATCACTGCGCATCTGTCATGCATGCATCAGTTACCTGAATTCCTGGCAAAGCTTCAAAAATCGCTGCATCGCGTCGCAAAGCAAACAACGCAGTTGGTTGGATTCTAATAAACGACAACGGCTGCTTGATAACAATGTCAGTATATCAACGATTAGTGCAGATGGCACTACCCAACAGCAACAGCAATCGGAGGATAGCGAACACCAAACACCAAGCTTGGCTACATCGATTTTGGATGGCATTTCGTCGTTGAAGAAACGCAAATCTTTAACTGTTTATGTGAGTCCTAAAGAAAACCCCCCAACTACTACCACTACTAGTACTCCTTCTACTACTACTTCTGCTGCTGCTACTGCAACTGTAACAAGTAAACAACACTTATTATCAGCATCAATAGAACCTACGTTTCATATAAAAAAATCGCAACAACCATATGAACCACAATTGCTGCTTCAACAACCAGGGGCATTTAAGAAGTATAGCAGGCAATTTGCGCCTTCAGCTGGTTCACTTGGTGCTGCTGGTGCCGGACGCGTACAATCTCTGGCACTGCCACAGACACCACTGCGCAGAGCTAGGCATTACCACCGCTCTACGCTGCATCAGCGGCAGCAGCAGCACCATCAGCAACAGCAAAAAGAGTTGCAACAATATGTACAAGCGGAAGTGGAAAAGTATCAAAGACAACAACTGTTGCAGGAACAACAAAAAATGCTGGAACAGCAGCAGCAGCAGCAACAACAACAATTGCAGCAACATCAGCAGCAGCCGTCGCATCCACAGTTACAGCAACAACAAATGCAGTCAATTGCTGTCGCAGCATCCACTTCGTGTCAGAGTGCCGCGCAGCAATTGCGTTTGTTTAGACGTTACACGTACAACAACGTAAACGTATCGAGAACAACGTTTTGCATACCTAGATATACATACACATGTCTACATATATGTTTCATACGCACATAAATTGATTCTGGCCTAAGTGTATTGCCCAGGCGATTTCATGATTTTTATTTGTTCCTTAGTTAGTAGCCCTTTAGACAGAGGAAGAAATTTAAATTGTAAATCTATTAAAGACAAAGTGATTCGGGCGACGCGGTGTACATACAACACCCCCATATATAAAGCGCCCAAAAACAGCAAACGTCCTCCGATTTAACTAAAATTTAGCGGTTTATTATACTTATATGTATGTTCGTTTAGGACGCAAAGAGTATAGATATGCAAAATGGTTCAACACCTACCATTCTTATCAAATGTTAAATTTAATCCCACTTTAATGAAACGTAGCTTACACCGTTTAAACGCTAGGCTTCTTCATTGTAAAAGTAAACCATTCGCCTTTGAGTTTATAGGTCTTTTCTTTTCCCAGTTATCTATCCTCGCTAGCATTTCTTCTAATACTCAATACAAAAGTTGTTGTCTTTCTAATTTTGACCATATTCTATGTATACATTTTCTTGCTCCTTTTGGATGCAATAAAGACAATTTTTCTTATGAGACTTAAATTAATTTTTATAAAACCTAAAAGAAACGCTAAAAGTAATTTCTGCATAGTAAGTAAATTTTTTTATGACGGTGGTCTTGAAGTAAACTGCTGTTATGAATAGCCTAATAAACAAGAAAGGAGGAGAGGATTTGTCAAATGTGAACGTAATTACGCAACCCGGTTAATAAACTGGTCCTTCTCCCCCAGCATTGAGAATGGCTTGGCAAACTTTCAACAAAATTTCCAGCAAAACTGGCCGGAAGACACCGTCAAATCCTCCGTATGCCACTTTAAACAACTTCAAATTGCCGTAGATATAACCGTTCGTGATTTTGACGGCAGGCTAGCACGATGCAACAATATCGCAGATAAAAGAAGTAGTAATGCTTTTTATCCTACTTCTTTAACAGACTGTATATGTAAAGTTTTCCTCTACTAAAACGAATTTTCGACATCAAATTAGTTGTTTTCAGCTAAGTCATAAAAATCATTATCTAACTCAACAATATAACTATAACCTAATGAATATATACTCAAATTTCATATTTATAACACAAGATATTAAATTCTATAATTTTCTTAACCCTCTCTTTCACAGCCATTACCAGCTGTGGAAATCAAAGATGAACCAATGGATCCCGATGATGACTACAGTGCGAAACAGCACGATGAGTCGGACGATATGGTTGATCCCACACTCTTTTTAGAGCGCACCGAAGAAGAGGGCGACGAGGCGTTGATGGTAAGTGTTATACTCTTATTTACTGTCTTCATTATAACTCACAAATTGATTTTTTTATAATGTTCAGGAGCATATGTCCTATCAATATGAACCACCGCCGCCGCGTCCAGCTATTGAACTTTCGGTACTTGCAGACACCAAAGAAGCATCTTGTCGCGCCTGCAATCTAAAGTTCTCTACACGCGCCAACGCCCGCCGTCACGAGCGAAACCTGCATCCTAATCTCTTCGAACTGTCCACATCAACGCCAAATAACATGCCTGTGACCAAACCGACGCCTGCACTGGCTGCTGCTCTGGAGCTACAACGAGCCTCAGCAGCGGCTGTAGCTGCGGCCGAGGCTTCGAAAGCCGCTTCTGGCATGATTACGCCGCTCAAGTATCGACAGGAAATAGTGAATGCATTCAACAAATGCGAAATCGGTGGTTTCGACTATGAGCACCCAGAGAAGTACCAACATCATTTGACTGATGAGAAAATCGTGTTCCTACAGCAGAACGACGAATTTTTGCGCCAGTATCAGAATATGACTTGCCGTTGCTGCAATAAAACATATTCGACCTACAAGAATTTCATGGCGCACATGCGCAAGAAATACTTAACATTGCCGCGCAACCTATGCTTCAACTGCCTCAAACTGAATGACTCGAAAGCGCTGTTCATATCGCATTTGAAACGACGCAATTGCATCAATTTGTATAAAGTGTTGCATGCGCTGATGGCGAAGGACTCCAGCTTTGCTGCTGCAGTGACTGCAACAGCGGCGGCAGTGCCCGATAAATTGCGTGCCAAGGAGTTGCTCGTCAATAAAATGTACGAATGCAAATTATGTCCGAAACGGTATCGGCTGAAGTTGGAATTCCGTTCGCATGTTTACGATCAGCACGCCGACATGCAACGCAAAGATACCATGCAAAAACAATGTTGTTATTGTGGTTTGGAGCTGGAGGACCCCGCTGAGCGCAAACGCCATTACAATAATATGGATTGCATTGTCTCATTACGTTGTGTGACATGCGATGCGAAATTCGATAATCATCAGAAATTTTTGGACCATGTATATGAAAAGCATTTGGCCGCCTTTGGCGAACAGACGTCGACATCCGGGCTAAATGTCAGTGTGACCTCGGAGAATTCACCGGGTAAAAAGTCAACGCCTGGTTTGGGTGGTGAGTTAATTGTGGTCAAAATTCTTAGGCAATCTTATGATATTGTATTGTGTACTTAGGTGCTTCCTCCACCGACGAGTCCCGCAGCAGTCATCACGCCAACTCTTTAACACAGCCAAAATCGCAATATTTCTCGCGCATGCCACAAGCTTGTCCGATATGTGACCAGCAATATAACAACTACAACAATGTGCTGCGCCACATGGAATCCAAGCATCCAGATCAATTGCCGCAGACCTACAAGTGTGTAAAGTGTGGTATTGGTTATCCACGTTTGTCCAACTTACGTGAACACATGGTCAGTGCTCATGCAGCGGATAAGGCAAGACATACTGGTTTTGAGTATATTGTGAATGCGGATGCGGTTAAAATTGCCTATGGTACTACACAGAATGTCTATACAGGACGGTATGATTATGTGATGAAAGATTTAATGTCGATAACGAATGGCGGATCAATCGGTAGGTGTCGCAAATTCAATTGTTCAGTATCAAAAGTAGATAGGATGTTACATTTTTAGATTTTAATGGGACTCTTTAAATTTGTGGATTTCCAGTCAAAGTCAATTTTTTAAAATATCCCTTACAAATTATTTCATTCCATGAGGAAACTTTTTGTTAGAATAAAGTTTTGGATTGGCAAGTGGTCCATTGCCAGGGTTTATTTTATATTAATAGATATATATACTTTTAACTCTCCTGTTTAATTACATATTGAAACTAAGTTCGTAAGAGGTATATTAAATTATTAAACTTTTTTGTTACCTAAAAATTCCTAGCTGACGACGATGAAAATTCTAGTGAGAATGCGGCCAAGAAAATGCGAACAGATAGTGGCGCCGCTGTGACCACCAGCACTGGCTCCGGCAATGCCAGTGGGAGTGGTAACATGTATAGCAGCCTGAAAGAGTGTCCTATTTGCAATGCAGTATTCAGCAATAATATAGGTCTTTCTAATCATATGCGCTCACACAGTGCAGCGAACCAGAACAGTGGCCAGTCCCCAGCAGGGGTAAGCGCCAGCAAATCGACACCAAGCGGGCTCACTATAACACCGGCACCACCCTCAAAGCCATCGACGCCTCCAGCTATGCAGCATCAGACAGCAGTACAAAAGGCAATCTTTAAGCGTAGTTTGGAACAGGCCGCCGACCGCCGTTTCCGACGCATGCGTTGCCGTCTCTGTCAGCGTCGATTCTCATCGAAGAAATCCTACCGTTTCCACATGCTCAACGACCATCAAATACGCAATGTACAATTTATTAAATGCAAATTGTGCGATGCAGAGTTCGCTTACGAGAAGGGCTTGAAGGTGCACATGTTCAAAATACATAATACGCTGCTCAAAGACGAGATGATTGTCAAGCAATTTGAATGTGATATTTGTTCGATTGTGTATCGCAGTGAAGATCAGCTTCAACAGCATAAGAAGACTGTTCATGGTGGTACAGACCAGCAGGGTGGTGATGAAGCATTTGACGATAAAATCGCAGCCGCGAATCCCGCTGATCGTTCGGGCATCTCGACGCCGGTTAGTAGTGTGGGAGCCGGCGGCGAACGTAGCACGGTTGATACTTCAGCTACTGGACCACTATACTGGTACCAATGCAAGTATTGCCCATCGAACTTTAATACCAACAAAAAGTTAGCAATCCACATTAACTCACACGACGAGTTTGATTCAAATGATTATTCGTGCAAGGATTGTGGAAATGTTTACAGCGGACGAAAGAGCTTATGGGTAATTGGATACAAAGCAATTATATTGTCAACGGCCTTTTTATTTATAATTTTCTTCATTTCTTTTACACAGGTGCATCGCTACAAAAAGCATCCACAATTCCCAGAACCCTCTGAATGTGTGCTCTGCAAAAAGGTTTTCTTTGATAGCCAAATGTTAGAGAACCACATACCAACTTGCAATCGCAAGCCAATTACAGCCACTGGCGCTGTGGCTGAAAGCGCGGGCCCGCCACCAATCTATAAACACAAGACCGGTGATGACGATGACGATGATGCATCACACGAAGCCAGCGGTGTTATAACGACTAGCGCATTGGGTGGCGGTGAGCTGGAGATAACTCCGATACCGGCGAGCGGTCTGAAGATTAAACTACCTGAAGTAGCTTGCACAATATGTGGACAACGTTTCACTGATCAGGAATTGTTCTCCAAGCACATACAAATGCATGAAATGGAATTATATACGGATAATCCGTTAGCGGCCATGTTTGATACGGGTCCAGCGGATCCGAATCAATTCTACTTGGATCGGGTGAATGACAATGGCGAATACGCCTGCGATCTGTGTAATAAAACGTTTACACAAATGACTGCACTTAAAGTGCATCGTAAATGGCATTTCAGAGGTGATAGCAAACAGGTGAGCTTTTGGGCTAGTGCAGTGAGGCTGGAGCAAAATGTCTCATTGTTTTGGCGTTCAAAATTTTAATGCAAAAAAATTGCGTTTTGTCGGTTCGGCATAGTGAAAGCGAGAAAGTAGTTAGAAGGGAAAAAGGGCAAGAGTGCAGTGTATTTGAGTTAATATGCTCTTGTCAAGTGATTATCGTGCTCAGAAGACTTCGAACACTTCTTCTATATAGTATGTCTCATCTAATATAGAAAATAGTTAGGTTATAGTATTAGAAACACACAAATGGGTCTTTCGATGAAGATGTAAACCGATAACGCAAGCAAATGAATTCAAACGGCTTTATAACTTTAAATTTAGTATTCAGATGGCGGAAAAAGGTTTTGAAAACGCGAAACGGTGGAGGGAAGAACTGAAAAAATTAAATTAAACATTTTATTTAGTATGTGTTTCTAGTAAAAATATTGTATGGGGGAAAAGTCTGTCGCGTACGTTATTATGTTTTTGTTTTTTATAATAAAAACTAACCAGAGATAATTTCTATTAAAAAAATGGAGGGATTGTAAAAGTACATTATTTAGCTTAGTTTAGGAATTTTTAAAGAAAAGAAAAACTCCCATGATTCGCAGACTTTCGCATATATGTGCCTTAATACCACTTCTTTTTCTGTCGCGTACGTTATCACCTTGTTTTGAATGGATATTTTCCACACCACAGTATCGAGGCTGCTTATATCTTTCTCAAACATAGTACCCTTGGGTTGCAACATAACCGTAATCTTGTTTTTCAGTAACTTCTATTTTTGAGAGGTTTATGTTACTCCATAAGCGTACGAATGTCGCGTACGGCTGCATGGAAACACCCATATGAATGTGTTAGTTCATACTTTCATAATACAAATACAATAATGAAGGGGTAATTCGGTTTATAACAATTACCGCTCTGTTCTTATTGCATCTAAGTAGTCAACTGTAGATTTTTGATTTTTATTACTACCCCGGTAAGCGCACGTGTTGCAATGAACCAATTTTTTAGCCATCAAAATTTACAACTCGGCATTTCACGACGCGTCCTCCGCACCAGTCCCAAAAAATAAATAAAATTTAATTGCATATACCCCTATTGTGAATATTCGTGCTAATTTTACTTTTCCCTTAGAACCAAGTCGACGCGGATCATTCAGCCAATGCAGCGAACCCATCATCCCAGATCCTGACCAACCATCAACATCCACTGGGATTACAAGCAGTGGGGCTTATTCCCAATCCCCATCATCACTCTTCAAGGTCCCAGAAACGCAAACGCGAACTTAAATGTGAGTACTGTCCCTCCACATTCATTAGCAACAACAACCTGCGTCGCCACATCTACGAGCTGCATAAAGATGAAATCGGTAACTTGCCTGTGCCACCGAAAATTGAAACAGATCCATATCTGCAGTGCTGTCGTTGTCAGCAAAAGTTCGAAACGAAAACTGATTGGATTGAACACAAAGTTGCAGATGCGCGTGTAACCAAACCGTTCGGTCCATTCCAGTGGGGCTGTGATTTATGTGGGGCCTATGTTTCGCGTAAAGAGAAGTTAATAAATCACATACACAATCACTTGAAAGAAAAGGAGATAGTGCCTGTGGAAGATCAACAACAGACTCATGACCAGAATCAGCATCGATCCGCTACGAAATCGACAGCGGCACCAGCAGCAGAAAAAGTTGTTGTTGATGGAGAAGTGGTGGTGAAGAGCGAAATTGATGATGAAAAAGAACAGTCAAACAAAGGTATTAAAGAGAGGCAGGAATCCGAAGATGAGGATGGTGAGGTGGATGGCGAAGTAGAGGAGTATGAAGGGGAACGAAAAGAAATAGGTGAGGGCCGAAGGCGCGACGCTCAATTTGAAGAAAACGCCGAAGAGGATGGTTCAGAGAAAGAAGAGGAAGATGAGGACTATGAAAATATGGGTGAAATTATGAAAGTCGCAATGACTGACACGCATGCCAATGATGAAACAGAACACGATGAAGATGATGAGAGCGAAGCCGATGATGGCGAGGAAGATGCCGACGCAGACGATGTCGATGATGTTGATGTAGATAATGCGGATTCAAACGACAATGTTGCCGCGTCGAATGGTCGGGCTTATGGGCGCGGTCCTCCAGTTGCGTCACAAGTCACCATTGAACCAATTCGTAATTCGACGGATACGACCGGAGACTCTTCGGCGTCGTACGACGAAGACGACGACGATGACAATGACAACGACTCGGATGCGGATAGTGATGCGGACAGCGGCGATAGTTCTTCGCAGGATTCGAAGACGCCAGCATCAGCGCCCAAAGCACGTTTCTCTTGCGATCTCTGTCGATTGTTCTTCGACTCGCAACAGGAGCTGCAAAAGCATGTGAAAATGCATTTCCTCAACGGACCTGGCTCGGTGTCGTTAACCGAGATCAAGTCAAAGACAGGCAACAAGTCGAGTCGCAGTAGTAGCAGTGATGTAGTGGCGGTGTAGTCATAGCGAACAGCAGCTGCTGCTACACTTGCTACCTGCCATTGCTAAACGTTTCTATTTACTTTGAAATATTGCATAAGCCGTTAATTTTTGCTAGATTAGTTTTTACTCTGAATCATATACATATAATGAATGTTTGTATACTACTTAAGTTACTGCCTAATTTATTAACTTTTTCAAGTTTGCTAAAAGAAAGCAAGATTTATGTTATTTGTGCATTACCGAGCAAATAACATAAAAAATAAACGCAAACTTTATATATAAACTGTAATCATTACATACCTACAATAAAATAATGCAAATGTATGTAGTAAACTTTACTAAATATAAATAAATAACTTTTTACTCTTGCTTTGATTAATTTTGCATGAAGAGTGAACTTATAAAAACCATAATTACGACGTTATACTACAAATACAACTAATTGAATACGAAATATAAGTATGAGCTGTAGAACTAGAAGCATTCGCAACATTACCAATTTTTCAATTAACAGCTTATGATTTTAATTTATTTTGAATATAAATGCGAGTATAATTTAACATCAAATATATTTATTTGTTTTTTGTTTTTGTTTTTATCCAACAAAATTGGCATTGAAAGAATGTATTTAGCATTAGCAACGCTCTAAAAATACAAACTAGTTGTAAGGCTTCAACTGTAAACATGAATTCATTCAAAATTAATTAATAAAACAAAAAAAAAATAATAATAATAAATAAGTTCAGTAGAATCCAGGTATTGCTCATTACAAAAAAAAAAATGAACTGGGTGCCTTTGTTTTGTTTTGTGTTCGACTTTTGCTGAAGGATTTTTTCGCCTCTTAATATATCTTCCTATTTTCCCCAAACATTTTAGCAAAAGCTGTGTAGAAGACGAACCCGAGCCCCAGTCGATGATGACAACAAACAACAAAGCTGCTGAGCTATACAAGTACGGCGGCGAGGGGTTGATAAGGTGCATGCATTAACTTATGCTGAATATGGTCAGATAAACACATGCCCGGCGACTGGAATTTAAGTGTGCTCTGCCCAATCCACAAGAAAGGCGACCCCGCCATTTGCGCCAACTACCGCGGGATCAGCCTTCTAAGCAACGGTTACAAGGTCTTATTGCGCGTATTGTGTGAAAGACTGAAGCCCACCGTCAACGAACTGATTGAACCTTATCAGTATGGTTTTATACCTGGCAGATCCACCATAGACTAGGTATACACAACACGTCAACTCGTTTTCGACTCAAAGCCGCTTTCAAAAGGACTTCAAGGGGTTTCCTATACGCCGCGATGTCTGCATTTGGCATCCCCGCGAAACTGACGCGGCTGTGTAAAATGACGTTGAGCAATACCACCAGCTCCGTTAGAATTGGGAAAGACCTCTCCGAGCCGTTTGTCGTCAAACGGGGTTTCAGACAGGGCGGCTTCTTTTCATGCGATTTCTTTAATCTGATGTTGGGTTGGATGCTGGCGTAATGACAACGACATCATCGGTAACAAGAACCGTGAAGTCGGTTCTGCCTTTTCCAAGTTGGATAAGAAAGCAAAACGAATGGGTTTGGCCATCAACGAGGACAAGACGATACTTGCCATCAAACAGTCAGCGCATTCGCGAACGTAGAACGTAGAGATTTTCGTTTACTTGGGAACCAGCATTAAGACATAATAATGTCAGCATGGAAATCCAACGCAGAATCACTCTTGCCCACAAGTGCTACTTTGGACAGAGTAGGCAATTTCGGAGTAAAGTCCTGTCTCGACGTACGAAAACCACACTATCAGGCCGATTCTGAACAGAAACTCCCTGGGAGATTTCTCTCTTTTCCCTTTCCTCCTATCATGAATAAAAATTCCCTGAGAATTTTTTGTATTAAATGGCGGAGTTGAGCTGTCAAAAAAGTGTCAAATAGCTATTTCGAGGTTCGAATACCCTCGTCCCGAATTTTCGAAGAAAATGTTACTCCCTGGGACTTAGTTATTGGAGGATTTCTTTCTCGGTAGAAACAAATTCCCGAAGAACAAACTCCCGGGAGTATTCAGAATTGGGCTGTATAAGTTAGTTATCATACCCGTGTTGGTATATGGCGCCGTAGCATGGACAATGACAACATCCGATGAGGCGGCTCTTGGATTATTCGAGAGAAAGATTTTGCGGAAGATTTACGGGTCTTTACGCTGAACGCTGAGCTGTATCAGCTTTACAACGACATAGACATAGTGCACCAAATCAAAATACAACGGCTCCGCTGGCTTGGCCATGTCGTTCGAATGGACTCCGACGCTCCAGCTTTGAAAGTATTCAACTCGGAACTCGCTGGTGGTAGTAGAGGAAGAGGGAGGCCGCTACTACGATGGAAAGACCAAGTGGAGCATGACGTGGCTTTACTTGGCATTTCCAATGGGCGTCAGTTGGCCCAGAAGAGAAACGATTGGCGTGCTTTGTTGAACTCGGCCAAAATCGCTTAGGCGGTTACAGCGCCAAATAAGTAGATGAAGAAGAAGAATCCATCGTAGCACATTTGGGGCTGCTAGACGTCCCAGTTTACTGGTATATGTCCCAGTGTGAAATTTATCTCAGTCCTGTCCAACATT